TTTTTTTTTTTTTTTTTTTTTTTTTTTTTGAGTTGGTGTCCCACTCTTGCGCAGCGTGGAGTGCAGTGGCATGCTCACGGCCACTGCAGCCTCAACCTGCTGGGCGTAGGTGATTCTTCCACCTCAGCCTTTCAAATAGCTGGAACTACAGATGCACGCCACCACACCTGGCTAGTTTTTGTGATATATTGTGGAGGTGAGGTCTCATCAAGTTGCCCAAGCTGGTCTTAAACCCCCCGGACTCAGGCAACCCTCTTGCCTTGGTCTCCCAAAGTACTGGGATTACAGGTGGAGCCACCGTGCTCAACCTCTCATTTAGATTTCTAACAGCTTAGGTTTTTAATTATTTCATCATTTTCACAATGTCTTATAAATTTTAATTTACTTTCAGTTTCCAATTAGTTATTGCTAACATAATAGGAAATCAATTGCATTTTGAAAATTGATTATTATATCCTGAAAATTCACTAACCTTACTTATTTTCATTAATTCTTTACAAATTCTGTAGGAATCTTATCTAAAAATCCTGTCACCTGCAAGTAAATATAATTTTGCTTTTTTTCTGGTCAATATGTAGGGCCATTAAGCAGGGCCAATACAATGTTAATAGAAGTGGGCATAATTGGCTCCATTTTATTTTCCAAATTTTACCAGGGAAGCTTTCATTCTTTTACTATTTAAGTATGATGCCAGCTGTAGTATTTTTATTGATGACTGTTAGTTGGGTGGTGAAATTTTTACAGTTACTTCAAGTTTGCTGAGAATTTTCATTATAAATGAGAACCGAATTTTTCAAGTGCTTTTTCTGCATCAATTAAGTTAATCATTGTCAAGCAAACAGGTGCTGCAGTATCAATTAACACAATGAGACAGACTGATAGTATGAACCAAGCTTTTATTGACTAAGACAGCACAAGCAAGAGATTTAAAAAAATACGTTCTGCCAGGCTCGGTGGCTCAGCCTGTAATCCCGTGCCTTTGGGAGGCTGAGGTGAGTGGATTGCCTGAGCCGTGGGTTCGAGACCCGCCTGGGCAACTTGGGGAGACCTCATCTCTACAATAAATAAAAAATCAGCCGGGCGTGGTAGTGCGCGTCTGTAGTTCCAGCTACTTGGAAGGCTGAGGCGGAAGGATCGCTGGAGCCCAGCAGGTCGAGGCGGCCGGCCACTGCACTCCAGTATGGGTGACAGAGTGAGACTCCAACTCAAAAAAAATAATAAAAATAAAAATAATTAAAAAAAAAAATACGTTCTGACTCCCAAATGTTTCATTTTGTCCTGTGGAATGCCACTGAGGGTCAGATAGAAACAACGCAGGTGTTGATAACTGCCTCACTGCTGAGGAGAGGTGAAGGAAATCTCTTTCTTGCCTCTGTATCCTATGGTTTGGTGGGAGGGAGAAGAGGAAAACTAGGATTGGCAAGAAACCATGTCAAAGTAGGAAAATGTGCTTGAGATAAGGCCCCGATAAGAAGACCTCCAAATAAATGATCTAGGACTAGGAATGAAGAAATGCCTATGAGCATGACTTGGGGTGAAGAAAGGAAGGAGTGGGCTGTGAATCCTTGACTACAACCTCCTTCAGAAAACTGCAATGCACAGCTGTACTTGGTTGGAATGAATGATTACACAGGATCGCTTTTCTGGAGCCAGACTCCTCAATCACAGGTTTTATTCTATTACTCCCTTGCTTAAAACAACAATTTAAGACCATTCTTTCTTTTTTTTCCTCTCAAAATATGCATTTGGAGGTGTAAGTTTAAGTCTCTCTCCAAGCATCTCTCTAAGCATCACTTTGGTTGCATAATTCGTTATTAGCTATACTTCTTTTTTTTTTTTAGTGGTTACTCATGGGCTTATGTTATGTATTTTAAAATTTCATAATCTGCCTTTAAATCACATTGCAACAATTCATGTGGAATCTAAGGAAAGGTAGGAATAAAAATAAATCTGATATATATATATAATTTTTTAACTACCTAGTTTTCTCCTAAGAGCAGTACACTTTTCAGCTGACTTGATGGCCCATGACATTAGGATAAATTAAATGTGGGTGTTCAAAAGCTTGATTTATATTCTGATCTGAAGATATAAAGGAGTATTTTGGAAGGCACCAAAGGCCTAGATTTGGAGAAAACAAATTTGTATTGACACCAATGTGGAAAGCCATATATTTTCTCCAGCAGCACTCAGCAGCCCGAGAAATAAATGGGAAAACCATGAGTTGGAATTGAGGACTATTATGGCAGAAATAACAAAAGCTCAAGGATAGATGGTCAAAAGAGTTGACTGAGTTGATGTAATCTTTTTTCTAAACTAAATAAGAAATAAAATAAGTTGATGGGACAGGATAAGGATAGGACACAAAAAAGTGCCATATTCAGTCTAGCATTTCATACTCATTCTAGAAAAAGTAGGGAATCAGGAAAATTATTACAAAAGAAAGA